TGCAGCAGCAACAGCAGCAACTGCAGCAACAGCAGCAAACAGCAGCAATAGCAGCAACAGCAGCAATAGCAGCAGCAGCAAGTAGCAGCAACAACAACAACAACTGAATGCCTAAACTTGAGCAGCAGCAGCACCCTGTAAGCCTGTCATCTTCATACACCCCACGCAGTTGCTGCTGCTGCTGCTGCAGCAACTGCAGCAGCAACTGCAGCAGCAGCAGCAACAACTGCAGCAATAATAGCTGCACAGCTGCAGCAACGATTGCAGCAGCAACAACAGCAACAACTGTACCAGGAAGATCAGCAACAACTGCAGCATCAACAGCAGCAACAACTGCATGAGCATCAGCAGCAGCAACTGCAGCAGCAACTGCAGCAGCAGCAGCAGCAAAAACAATCGCAGCAAAACTTACATCAACAATTGCAGCAACAACTGCAGCATCAGCAGCAGCAAGCAGCAGCAAACAGTAGACACATTTTCATGTGTCTTTGCTGCTCTGTAGGCTGAGCTGCACGGCCACGAGCAGCAGCAACTGCAGCAACAGCAGCAGCAACTACAGCAGCAGCAGCACGACTCACCTTGCTGCTGTCTTGCAAGTAGGAAACTGTTTTTTTCTGTCTTGTGCTTACACGAACAGCAGCAGCAACTACAGCAGCAGCAGCAGCAGAAGCAACAGCAACAGCACCATTAACGGTAACGGCAGCAGCAGCAGCAGCCACTGCAGCAGCAGAAGCAACAGCAACAGCAGCAGCAGCAGCAACAGCAGCAACAGCAGCAGCAGCATAATCTCTTTCATTTTGTCTTCTGAGTTCTGCAGCAACTTCATGCTTTTGCTGCCCCCCTCCTTTGCTGCTGCTGCTGCTTCTGCTGCTGCTGCTGCTGCTGCTGTCGTGCCTGTGTGTTGCTGCTGTTTGTCTTCTCCTGCCGGTCCCCCGCTGGGTGAGGCGGTACAGCAGCACTCTGCTGCTGCTGCTGCTGCTGCTGCTCCTTGTGCTGCTGCTGCTGCTGCTGCTGCTAGCAATGGAGGCAGCGCAGCACAACGGCGGCTTCCTGCCTCTACAGGAGCTACACTTACCTACTGCACAGCAACGTAGTAAGTCTATGGCTAGCTGGTGGCTAGCTGCTGCTGCTGCTGCTGCTGCTGCTGCTGCTGCTACTGGTGCTGCTGCTGCTGCTGCTGCTGCTGTTATGTGTGGCTAGCTACATATCTACGTGTTATTATACATAGCAAACTATTATATCTACCTATTATATAATACAAGACATGTATTAATTTTTATTTATTTATTTATTTATTTATTTATTTATTTATTTATTTATTTATTTATTTATTTATTTATTTATAGACCTGGATAGATTTGAGTTAAGTATTCGTCAATCATTAAAGGAATTAAGAGGCGTCGCTTCCTTACATACTAGTAAGTAGCTAGCTAGCTAGCTAGCTAGCTAGCTAGCTAGCTAGCTGGCTAGCTGGGTAGCTGGCTAGCTAGCTGGATGGATGGATGGATGGATGGATGGCTAGCTAGCTAGCTGGGTAGTTGGTTAGCTAGCTAGCTGGATAGTTGGATAGTTGGATAGCTAGCTAGCTAGCTAGCTGTCTAGCTAGCTAGCTGTCTAGCTAGCTAGCCAGCTGCTTTTATTCTAGCAAGCAGCTCTAGACGTGCAGCAGATAATGCACAGAGTGTGTCCTTGCTTATGTTGCTCCTTCTTCTCGTGGCTAGCTAGCTAGCTAGCTAGCTAGGTTGCTAGCTAGATGGCTAGCTAGCTGTTGTTTCCTTTTATTCTAGCTAGCTACAGAAGACATCCAATGTTATACAGAGTGTCTCCTTGCTGCTCCTTATCCTCCTTTTATTGGCTAGCTAGCTAGCTAGCTAGCTAGTGTCTCCTTTTATCCTCCTCCTCGTGGCTAGCTAGCTACTGTAGCTAGCTAGCTAGCTAGCTACAGTCCCCTTTTATTTTTATCCTCCTCCCCCTCTTTTTGTCCCCTCGGCCTCTTTCTCGCCTATATATGCAACTTGTTGCTGTGCTGCAGTTAGCTGCAGCAGCAGCAAGCTGCAGCAGCAGCAGCAGCAGCACAGCAGCGCGATGGCTAGCTGCACAAGAAACAACATTCACAGATAGCTGATGATGTCTCGGTGCTGCTGCAGCTGCAGCAGCAGCAGCAGCAGCAAAATTAGCTGCTGCAGCATCATCATCATCAGCAGCAGCATAACCTGAAACAGCAGCAGCTGCTGCAGCAGCAACAGCAGCAGCTGCAGCAGCAACAGCAGGAAGTTGCATTTGTTTGTCAATAAGGAGGAGGGAGAGAACAAGAAAAGTTTTTCTTTTCTTGTCTTTTTCTTTCTTTCTTTTGTTTAGTCTTTTATATTAACTTATTTACGTCTTTTTAGTTATATTTATTTATTTATTTATTTTTATTTATTTATTTATTTTTATATTTATATTTATTTTATATTTATATTTATTTTTATATTTATATTTATGTTTATTTATAGGCATG